TGGTGGTTCAGTGGTAGAATTCTCGCCTGCCACGCGGGAGGCCCGGGTTCGATTCCCGGCCAATGCAGGGTGCAAATTTTTCTTTCCTCTTAAATACAATTTCCCTCAGAGTCAGACGTTTTACCTACTTACATTTTCATGACTCGTACATGTTAATCATATTTTGATTAAAATCACCTTTTCAAATAAAAAGGACTAGTAGGTTAGCGACAAACTGTTTTCTTAAAGAAACAGTGAATTTTATTTCTCTGAGGACATTTGAAATAAAAATTTTCTAAACGAATTTTGCAAGATCCAAATCTCTAAATAAGGCGGTCAACCATTTTATTTTTTTAAAGGGCGGAGTTACATGAATCTGTAAAGGTAAGAATTCAAAGCTATCTACTTGCGGTTAGCAGAGTGGCGCAGCGGAAGCGTGCTGGGCCCATAACCCAGAGGTCGATGGATCGAAACCATCCTCTGCTAGTATCTTTTTTCCTTTACTTTTTCGCCACAATAGAATTAAAGCTTTATCAACTTTCTACCATTTGCTTATAGAAACGGAAAATAATAGTCAATCAAAGCGTTCTGCCCTCAAATATTCCCTCACGTTGAAAACACCGCGTTTTCAATTAACTGGGACAGGGTGACAGACTCGGATTGGCGGTATTTAACCCAGCAGCCAAAGTAGCATGTCTGTTCGTCACAGTTCAAAGGAGCTTAAGTCTAGCCCCGATTTAGAGTGTCAGAGAAAGTGATATGGAGCAGACTTTTCCTCGTACTCCCTTTTCCTCCCTGCCGATCATTACCACCAGCTCAGTATGGTGTTGGGAAGCTCTTTCAGTAGGACCGGGGTTATTGTATTTCTGCTCCGTGATTTCCACTATACCTTGAGCCCAGCCTGGTTACACTTGACACGTCTTGGATACTTGTGGCTTGGAATGAATTAAAAGACACACTTTCTGGTTTACCACTCACCAGAATTTAACATTATTCTTCAAAGATTACAGAAATTATCACATAGCATTGATCTATTTATTTTATAGCATAACACACTGACTACTGGTTTCTTATATTTAAAGGAGAGGAGGGAGAGGAAGGAGGAAGAGAGAGAGAGAGAGAGAGAGAGAGAGAGAGAGAGAGAGAGAGAGAGAGAGAGACTCATAAAATGAAATCATTGTGGTCATATTATCCACTCCAGTTCTCAGTTTTCAGTCTCATAGAGATCTGAACACAAACTCAGTTTATCTAAAACAATTGTAGAGAAAGGAACTATCACTTTCTGTTCTAGGCCTTATTTAAGAAAGAGTTTTTCAGCTTGTTTGTGGATACTCTGATAGCCACTTACAGAATTTGTTTTTTTAAGTGATGTATTCAATTCACCTCCTAGTTACTTACTAATTCTCCCTCTCTATAGAATTTTCTATTAGCAAGTACGATGGTTAATATTGTCAAGATGACAGTATCAAGAGTCACTGAAGACGGGGGGGGGGGGGGTCCCTAGTCATGTCTGTGGGGAGCTATCTAGGTTAGATTCACTGAGATGGGAAGACCCACCTTAAACATGGGTAATGTCATTCCGCAGACTTGGGCCCTGGACCGAGTGCAAAGGAGAAGTGCGCTAAACTCCCTGGTTATGTGAACCTCGAGACCAGCACCTCCTCGAGTGTGCCACAATGACTTCTCTGCCCTGATCCCTTAGACCTTTAAGTCAGAGTCAACCTCTCCTCTCTTAAGTTGCTGTGGTGGTGGTCGGGTATTTATTTGGCTCCAGCAATGGGGAAAAGTCACTAATACTGTTATAGAAAGAGTAGGTCCTCGTAATGAGAAATCACTGTGTACGGTTAGAGATGAAGGATGATAGCCCATGCCCAAGCAAGAGACGGCGTAAAACAGATTTCCCTAACTTACGTACACTATTGGTTTATACGTTCCACCACACTAGCAGGCTTAAATGACATTTTAAGGTCTGGCCCAGGCTACAGTTTGAACAGAGGCAGGAGACTACACCTCTGGCCACTTGGGGAGATGGGAGATTTACACAGCCAAGATTGGCCAGAATTATTTCTGAAGTACACCAGTGTCGTTCTTGTCCACACTGTTGTCACCCAGGTCCGTCTTGCCCACCTGCAGAATTTGGCTTCTCAAATAAGAGCACGGGGACTTAATGGCAGGCCAGAACTTAGTGGTTCAGGTTGTGATGCCTGTTAGAGTCTTGCTGTTTGGGGAATGGGCCTAATGGCCTGTCAATCCTAGTGAACATTTACAACCTAGCGCTGTAAATTTTGCTTACCTCTAACAGACCTAATTAAGCTGGGGATCAGTGCCCCCTTAGCTAAATCCTACGTTGTGTGATTTAATGTCTCCCAAGCGAATCTATTAACCAACCCCTTATAACATGAATTCCATTATGTAACTCAGTTTCTATCTGGAGCCCATTCTGACTTCACAGTCATTTGAGGTCAAGCTTGACTGCTCTGCCTGCTCCGGCATCCTTGAGGGCTGTGAGAACGTTCCGATTAAGCCATGGGAAAGAACATTTTGCCCACGATAGAGAACACATCATCTATTAACACACAGGCTGTTGAACGCCAGTCAAAGGCACATCCAGTTACAAAGTAAAACCTGCTTGCTCCGAGCAGGATCCACAGGATAGACAATGAGGCTACGGTGCTTCTTTCTCTCAAGGACAGTACAGGATGATGATGATGATGTTCTGTGATCTGCTTTTTGCCTGTTATTAGTATATATATGCTGACTGAGAGATAAACTCGGGGCTGTTTGGCTTGACCAACAGACCTCCCGAACCTATCCTGTGTTTTCTGTCTTCATTTCTCTCAATCTAACATTTCATTAGCCTCAGCACCCCCCCTCCCGACTTTGTTGGAGCAGGCTCTGACACCACGACTTTGAGTTTCTTCCACCCCAGCACGGCAAGTATAAAACCAAAAGAGAACAGCTGTATGAAGATACTTTTGAGCCAGCTCACAGGACACAGGGGCAGAAGAATCAAGAGTTTAAAGTCGTCCTTGTCTGCATAGCTAGTTCAAGGACAGTTGGCCTCCAGGACTCTTTGTTTCGACCAACAAGACAGAGTCATTTTGAGAGAGCACCTCACGGGAAGCTGTTTTCTTAGCCAAGGCTGAAACACATCTTTTCGCATTCACATTTGTGAGTGAGGGCAGCCACCTACCACGTCTGGAAGAGAGGCCTCAGAAAAAGTACCACACCTGATCACACTTTGCTCTTGAACTTCAAGAAATACCTGTCTGCGTCCTGTTGCTTGTCAGCCCTGCCGTTCTACTAAAGTGTTTTAATAAGATCTTTGCGCATGATTAAGCGCTGCACACCATTAAAGGATCTAAATCTAGAAAGCAAGCCTCTAATTATTTTAAGTTATTTTAACTTGCTTTTGAGTAGTATTTTATTATTTTTATTTATTTATTTTTTGATAGCGTTGACCAGACAGTCCCTCTATGCTCTCCCTAGTCCCCTCGGTCTTACACCCTCTTGCTCAGTCACACATGAATGACTCCTGTAGTTTCTAGGAAACAAATAGCAACCCTACTGCAACTCGCTCATCACAAGAAGGAAGCAGGTCTGAACAAGAAAACTCAACGTCATGGACTTGTGCTTCTACTTGATGCCACAAGATGGCAGAAAAGAGCCATTTCACACACCCTGCAAGACCAGCTCATTCCCTAAATAGCCCCACTTGCCATGCATCAACTGCAGTCGTCCTGTGGAGGGACCTAGGCGGTGAAGCTTATTCTTTCATAGGTGGAGAAAGATCTACAAAACATGATTGACGGGAGAAAGTAGACTACGGGGTAACCGAAACGTTAATACCATGAGACACGAAAAAAAGAAGTTAGGTGTTATTTGGATAATGGTAAATTGCAGGTGCATGGAACTCCCGCGAATATTGGGAGGTAACTAACCTAGGCAGTTCGGCGGCACAGCTGGAGTCCGCTGATTTTCAGTGTAGGTTGACTCTTATTGCTGGACTCATGACAATGAACACACCCTTGAAGATAGCCTCTCACATAATTAGTGCTGAATTTACACTTAAAATTAGTTTTCAAGAGCTACTGGGTGCCGCTTTTACTTGGGCACCACTAACGATTCACCTTTACCCACTCAGCATTGCTAACCTGTGGTTACACTGCCTCTTTAAATATTTAGGTATGAAAAGTTGACTTGGCCCGGATCCAAAGGCAAGCGAGACGCGTAAAGTTTTGAGTAACCGGTTCACTTCTGGAAATAACTATACAAAACAAAACAAGCCTTAGAGCTGTGAAAATAAAGAACAAAACATCCAAGCATGGGAAGGGGAAACTTGCCTTGCCAAGAGCAATACAGGAAGTGGGGAAGGAATGTCATGTAACAGCTATTTCAGGCGAAATTGTGGTGGCTCTGAAAAGAGCCTTTGGGTTAAGAGCGAGATGGGCGCGCTCACTTGGAGCTGGTGTACTTGGTGACGGCCTTGGTGCCCTCGGACACGGCGTGCTTGGCCAGCTCCCCGGGCAGCAGCAGGCGCACGGCCGTCTGGATCTCCCGGGACGTGATGGTCGAGCGCTTGTTGTAATGCGCCAGGCGCGACGCCTCGCCCGCGATACGCTCGAAGATGTCGTTGACGAACGAGTTCATGATGCCCATGGCCTTGGAAGAGATGCCGGTGTCGGGGTGGACCTGCTTCAGCACCTTGTACACGTACACCGAGTAGCTCTCCTTGCGGCTGCGCTTGCGCTTCTTGCCGTCCTTCTTCTGCGCCTTGGTCACGGCCTTCTTGGAGCCCTTCTTCGGGGCGGGCGCGGACTTGGCTGGCTCAGGCATCTTCAGATCTCCAAACACAGGAAGCTCAATGTGGGTTGGAAGTAGACATCTCCTACTTATAGGGCGTTTATGCTAATGAAGGATTTCAAAGAAGTCTTAGCTAATTGGAAGAAACAACACCAGAGGGATCGTGGGTGTGATTATGCAAATGAGGTTTTGAGATCCTTATTTTCTATTGGCTATAGCGCTGAGTTCTCTTGTAACCAATCAAATGAGTACTTTTACTACCCAGGAACAAAATATAAAAGCAGCCGTGTTTTACAGAGCTTAGTAGTTTGTGTTGTGTCGCTGACTTCCTTATAGCTTTACCATGTCTGGACGTGGCAAGCAGGGCGGCAAGGCTCGCGCCAAGGCCAAGACCCGCTCCTCCCGGGCCGGCCTGCAGTTCCCCGTGGGCCGCGTGCACCGCCTCCTCCGCAAGGGCAACTACGCCGAGCGGGTGGGCGCCGGCGCCCCGGTGTACCTGGCGGCCGTGCTGGAGTACCTGACGGCCGAGATCCTGGAGCTGGCTGGCAACGCGGCCCGCGACAACAAGAAGACGCGCATCATCCCGCGCCACCTGCAGCTGGCCATCCGCAACGACGAGGAGCTCAACAAGCTGCTGGGCCGCGTGACGATCGCGCAGGGCGGCGTCCTGCCCAACATCCAGGCGGTGCTGCTGCCCAAGAAGACCGAGAGCCACCACAAGGCCAAGGGGAAATAGGTTGATTGCCTGTCTCTTGGACTGTCCTGGTGGAAGTCACCTTAAAACAAAGGCTCTTTTCAGAGCCACCTACGGAAACACTGGAAAGCGCTGTACTACTTGACGGTGGTAGAACCAGCAGTCTGTTCTATTATAGGGACAAAGACAGGTTAAGTGAACTCAGCCCTAAATTTATTGAATAAATTAGACCTTAAGTGAAGATAGGCTACTTGTTACCCATTTAGGTATTTTGCGAATCGGGTTCTAATGCTACTTGTTACTCTTTTAAATACTGTGCGAAGCCAGCGTTATAACAGTAAATTAGCATTGAAAATCACGTGTTCTCTGTTACATGAGTAATCGCAAGTAATTTACATTTACAGGAGGACTTATATAGTCTTCAAAACCTTAATCCTTTGTAATTTTATGCTAGTTTTCAACTTTGAGTTTTTGCTTTGTTACATAAGGATATTTTTGTAAAAATTATGAAGGCTGCTATTCCTGCCTTGGTATTGAGTTTTGGAAGGCACATGCAAAATTAAGCGCGGGATGGTGGCACAGGCTTTTACGAAGCCTAAGGTGAGAGATTTGAATTCTTAGACATCTTGAAGTCCATAGACTAATAGAAAAGTTAAAATAAAAAAATTCTGCTGCCGAAGAGCTTAGAAACTTATACAAAATGCAGAATTCGGTGCTTTTATATTCATCACGAGTTCATAGACGTTAGTGGGAAGAGCAACTCTAGAAAGAAAAAGTTTAAATAATGATTTACTAAGTTTAATCACCAGAATCCGTATTTTATCTGAAAACTACTTGCAGTATATATTTAAAAGGGTGCTGGAGAAATGGCTTAGTGGTTAAGAACAGTTTCTGATCTTACAGGAAGGCCAGAGTTTAGTTCTTAGGACTGAACATCAGATAGGGGGTGAGCAGTGGGGTGGGGTCCGGTTCTGGCATTGAGGCGTACAGAAACACCAAATTTATGCAAACAAAACAGAACAAACAAAACAAAACTATTCATCTCATAAGTTGAGAATATACTGCCTGTGGTTTTTTTTGTCAACCATCGGTTACTTGGAGTGAACCAAACATATCATTTCTGCACACACAGAACTCAAGGACTAAAGGAAGACCGTCAATCAAAACCAGGAATTCTATTGGATCGCCCTGCCTGCCTTGGGATTCTGTGATCAAGATCTTCAAGTTAGTGTTTAAATGACAGATTTGCAACTCGGAGGAATAAGAAATCCCAGCTCTTCCACTTTTTACTGTTAATTTTCTTTTTCTCATGAGACTTGGCCTTCCTCAGCGAAGACAGAGTCATGAGCACCCCTTCAAAATACCTATAGAAAAGTGCCAGCATTTTACTAGGTTTACTACAACAGTCACAGGCACATGCTTGCTTCCAGCATGCAGACTGGTTCTCAACAAACCGAGTCTTCTTCAGAGTAGTCGGTGTTGCTTTTTCTCCACTGAGAAGCTCAGTGGAGATGATGGGATCTCACTGCACCCCCTCACTGCTCTCTTATACAACCCTTTGGGTCATCCGTCACCTTTGCACACATAGACACTTGCAAGTACATGTTCGCTCTCATGCGTATTTGTACACACACACACACACACACACACACACACACACACCTAGGAAGTGTTCATTCAGTGCCTGGCAATGCCTAGTGTCCCACCCAACAGTTCTCCACCCCACATCCCTCATCTCCCTTGTATAAAACCATCTCTATATTAAAATGTAGGGTGGAGTGGAGGCCTGAAAAGATGGGTCAAGGTTTAGGAGCTCTTGTGGCTCTTTCAGAGAACCTGGGTTCAGTTCTCACACCCACATGCTATTGCACAACTGTCTACTTCAGTTCCTGGAGATCTGATGCTTTATTCTGGCCTCTGTAGACATCAGGGGCACATGTTGTATGTTTATATTTATATATATATATGCAAGCAAAACACGCATCCACATAAAGCTAAATAAAAGAAAAAGTTATACCTTTTTTTATAAGTAAGAGTTATTTAGGTTCTAAATTGAAATTACGTATATGTAAACTAATAAAAACAATAAACAACAAAAAAGAAGAAAAAACAAATATTCAAAGTATTCTATAAAGTTTTTGGGTAAAATAAAAATTGTTAATTAGCCAGTCTGATACTCGGGCCTGACATACCAGGGCTCAGGGGTCAGGATGGCCGAGAATGTGAGGTCAGGCATAGCATGTCTGGGTAGCATGAACTGCAGTACTATTTTAGCTTCTACCAACCACTGTTGAATAATGTCTTATAGATACTTTATGTTAAGTTGCCTATTAAATAATGGTTTAAATTTTAGTGTAAATGCAAAATCTTGGGAAATTAAAAAAAAAACATGGATTTTTCACACTAAAAAAGAATTTACGTAAAAAAGATTACTTCAACAACTAGCTTGCAAATGTACATCTTTACACATAAAAGTAAAGTGTGTTTGAGAAAAGAGTAGGCTTTATTCGTAGAAAGTTCCTGCCCAGGGGCTGAAAAAGATGGCTCAGTGGTTGAGAGCATTGTCTGCTCTTCCATAGGACCCGGGGTTCAATTCCCAACACCCATATGGCAGCTCACACTTGTCTATAACTCCAGTTCCGGGAGATCTGAGCCAATGAACATAAAATATGTAAAATAAATAAGAGAGAGAGAAAGAAAGAAAGAAAGAAAGAAAGAAAGAAAGAAAGTAAGTTCCATCCCAATCCCCAGCCTACTCTATTCATGCAGATGAGGGCCACAGTGTGGCAGTGTCAGTATATTGTGTTTGGTGGTTAAATTTAATTCGAGCTCACTGTTCACTGTTCAGATCCAGGCTGTGAAACTGGGCCTCGCAGAGGCTGTTTATCCTGGCAGTTCAAACAGGAAAATGCTTAGAGTTCAACTTCAAATGGGGTCCTTTCAGGAGACCTGGATACATGCCTACAGCCAACCAGCCAGTGGCTACCAGGATACATACTGATTGCATCTGATGGTATTCTTAGGTTTTGGATTGATTTGGAAGCTAGTGGTCTGCAATGTTAAGGCTACAACTGACTTTTATCTATTAGCCACAAGGTATTGGTTTCGACATAGAGGTCGACAACCACATTCAGGGCCTTAAAATTAGCCAAAGATGAGACAACCACCCCACGGACCAGTAAGATTCCATCCTCTGTTAGGTCTGGGCCCCTAACTCTCCACATCATCTCAGTCCTAGTCAACGAGTCTTTGAAGACACTGCTCCCCAGGAGTCCTCTTCACAGATCCTAACTTACAAGTTAAGGAAAAAATAGTTCAGGAGTTTAAGAAAAACAAAAGCATTTTCATTTTGCTTGGACTATGCATAGCAGTTACAGACGAACGACCAGCCTCGAAGATTGTATCCAAACTTCATAGAAGCAGTTGGATGATTCTTTGAAAATATTGGTGAAAGCCAATTAAATAGAATATATATGAGAAATGAGATTTCCAATATGATGCAATTTATATATAAAGTTTATAATATAATCAAAATGGAATGGAAATATCAGTATCGACACTAGTATATTAAGTAAAATTATGTTGTATGTGAAAAATGACCTTAAGCTTGAGGCATTCAACAACTGATGCAGGTGACTAATTCACCGATTCATGTTGCTTTTATGAAAAATTCTTAAGAGAATAATACAGATATTAAGATGGCATTTTGAAAGCTTTAGCTAGAGGAAATTATTTGAAATGTAGTCACTGTAGAGAAGGAACACGAGGTAATTCACAGCGGTGTGCGCCTTAGAAAGTGTGCACTGCCCGCCAGAGCTCCTAAGCAGCAGCCTGCGGTGCTCTCTCGGGACTGGGTAACCGGTTGTTAGGGGACCGCTCGGCTTTGTGTATTTCGCACAAAGTCAGTGTACTGCTTGTGCCCTCGATTCTCCAAATTTAAAACAGGATAAGGTGTTAGTTCCATTAGAAAGCACAGACAAGGAAACAAAAGCGCCTCTCCCCCCCCCCTTAAGCCTTCCCCTCCCCCACAAGGGCGGGCGCAACTTCCCGCCTCCTCGCTCAGGTTCTCAGTTCGGTCCGCCGCCTGCGTTATAAAAGCCGGCGCTCGGCTGCCGTCCCAGTGTTTCAAGCTCTCAGCTCTCTAGCATCCGATCATGTCCGGTCGCGGCAAAGGCGGGAAAGGCCTGGGCAAAGGCGGCGCCAAGCGCCACCGCAAGGTCCTGCGCGACAACATCCAGGGCATCACCAAGCCCGCCATCCGCCGCCTGGCCCGGCGCGGAGGAGTCAAGCGCATCTCCGGCCTCATCTACGAGGAGACCCGCGGGGTGCTGAAGGTGTTCCTGGAGAACGTGATCCGCGACGCCGTCACCTACACGGAGCACGCCAAGCGCAAGACCGTCACGGCCATGGACGTGGTCTACGCGCTCAAGCGCCAGGGCCGCACCCTCTACGGCTTCGGCGGTTAAGCTGTTTATTTCATGCTCAGCTTCCTAAAGGCCCTTTTCAGGGCCACCCACTCGGTCCTTAAAGAGTTGCAACATTGTCCATATTTATGGCCAGAGGTTCAATCCTTATTGAAATGTCCAATTTTATAGACCTTCGTTAAACGTTAATAGCAAGTAGTTAACAATCACTTGCCTTTTCTAATCCTTACCTCTTCTGGCTCACATTCATGTGCATACAACATGTGTGAATTTTTTACCCTGGTATTTCATAGTACATAAAAATTATAAATAATCAAATTCAAATCCTAAAGCAAAGAAGCAAAGGGAAAGGAATGGAGCAAGTAGAATTTTTTTTTTTTTTTTTTAGATCAGGTCTCACTACCGGCTAGGCTTGAATTAACTTTGTAGCCAAAGCCGCCTTTGAACTGGCTGATTTTCCTGATTGCATCTCTGGACTGTCTGAGTTACAACAGACAGCACCACCTCTGGCTTATTTTTCTTACTGCTGCATCAGGCTCCTTCACTGTCTATGAAGACAAAGGTACCAGTTTGGGCAAAGTTGGAAGGCCTCCCAACTTTATTCCCCTTTATTAAGTTGGGAGACAAGCAAAC